GCGAGCGTGGGCGAGGGACCCAGACAGGCGGAGCCCCACGCCCATCCTCCCCCCGCACCCGCCCTTTCTCCCGTGGCTGGTGGCAGGTGAGTGGGTGTCGAGGAACCGCCATGCAGCGGAGAAAACAGGACGCCGCAGAAATCAGATTACTCACCTGCAGCTGCGGGTACCCAGGGCTAATAAAAGCTGCGCTTCCTGTTGTGACTTTATTACCACCCTCTGCCTCCCAGCCCCGGGCGCTCCCAGCTGCAGCCAGAGCCCTAACTGATTGCCAGAAACCGGTCGCTTCGGGGGGCCAGGACCACTGCGCGTCCTGCTGACTCCACCAAGAGCGCAGCGCCGCCCCGGGTGAGAGCTGCCTCGGGCGGCCCTCCATCACCTGCATGGGAATCACCTGCGGTGCTGGCTGACAAACTAGGTCCCCAGGCACTGCTCGGCACCCGCTGAGTCAGAATCTGCAGGTTGGGGTCTCACACCTGAACTCATACCAGCCTCTGGGGCTTGGTACGCAGGCTAACGCTGAGGGCTATGAAGTCCGGGTGTTGGAGGGTCAAGCGGTGTGAGTTTGTTTTTCCTGACTGCCGCCTGCAGCTAGAGATGGAACCTTTCCCCAATATCGGCCAAGTAAGTCCCTGACCCCAGGGCCTCAGCTTGCTCGCCTGTTTAGTGGGGATGAATATTTCTTGGGACTTAAACGAGGCTCAGATGATATAACAAGTTTACAGACCAACCAGGAATAGACATTGACAAATATGATAAGTAAGACCGAAGAGGTAGGCAGAATGGATGGGGCCGCGGGGGACAGTGGAGGGGACTAAATTACTCTGGGGACATTGAGACAAGCCCTTCACCAGGCAGCTTCATCGAAGTTCAGTCCCCAACACACCAGGAAAATGCCCCTGCCCAGAGCATAGGCAACCCCTGAAGGCCAGGTCTGAGGGCTCTTCCCAGCCTCTCTGTGACATATGACTCTGGGACAGCCCACACCCTCCTGCTCCAAGCTCCCCCCTCCCTCCGCTTCAGGGAGACCTCATATTCCACCACCACCACCACCACCCCACCCCCCCACCAGCTCCCTTTCAGCCACCCCAGACCCTCCTCCTCCTGCCCCTGGGATTACAGGCATTGTGGCCTACTGCACACCCCCCTGGGCAACCTCACCCACTCCCAGCTACCGTCTCCCAGCTGAGCTTTGCCCTGAGCTCCCAATGTGCAAACGGAGCACCTTGCAGACATCTCCACTTGTTAACCCCAAGCACCCCAACTCAGCTTGCCTAGCTCTGAACCCATCATCTTGATCTCTCCTCCAACCTGTGTCTCCTTCTGGGTTCCCTGTCTCTGGGCATCACACCTGGATATTGTCCCAGGTGATTTCTGCTCCTTTGCCCCCACATACAGACTCCCACTCCAATCAATTTTATCTCTAGAATCTGTCCCCTTCTCTCCAGTCCTCCTGTCCCTCGGACTCTAGATCCCTAGTTCAGGACTGCATAATCTCTCACCTAGATTATTATTATTTTTAAAATATATTTTTATTGATTTTAGAAAAGAAGGGAGAGAGAGAGAGAAAAACATCAATAATGGGAGAGAATCATTGATCAGCTGCTTCCTACACACCCCCCACTGGGGATCGAGCCTGCAATCCAGACATGTGTCCTTGACCGGAATTGAACCTGGTACCCTTCAGTCCCCAGGCCGACACTCTATCCACTGAGCCAAACCAGCTAGGGCTCGCCTAGGTTATTTTAACAGCTTTTTCTTTTTTAAAAATTATATTTCTTTGTTGATTTCAGAGAGGAAGGAAGAGGGAGAGAGAGATAGAAACATCAATGATGAGAGAGAATCATTGATCGGCTGCCTCCTGCACACCCCCTACTGGGGATTGAGCCCACAACCCAGGTATGTGCCCTTGGCCGGAATCGAACCTGGGACCCTCCAGTCTGCAGGCCGACACTCTATCCACTGAGTCAAACAGGCTAGGGCTAACAGCTTCT